ATCTGTGTGTGTGATAGTGTGCATAGAGTCCATTTTCTGTGGCATTGTCCGAGGTCTGGGTGCGTAGGTCTCCCCAAGGCAAGAGCAAAGTAAAGTATTATGAAAATGAAATGGATTGGAGTGGAGATGAGATGTTAATATATGTGTGTTTTTTTTTTTGGGTTAGTGAATTTGTAAAAGTGTGTTTTTTGAGTGTTTTTGTGAATGGACTCTGTCTGATTTTAGTGTTTTTTGTTGATTTGCTTGTTTGTTGGTTGTGCTTTAGTTTGGGGTGAGTGCGATAGTGCGTGTTTCTGTGTCTGTCCCCCCCCCCTCCTCTTGTAGAAGGCTGTTTCTGTTGTTTCGTGTGGGTGGTGGCTGGTTTTGTTTGTTTGTTATTGTGTGAGTGAGTGTGTAGGTGAGTGAATGCGTGTGTATGTGTGTGTTTTTGAAATGGACTTTGACATCGAGATAGATAGTTGTTAATAAAGGGTTGTTGTTGTGTATCTTTTTCTCCTTCCTTTACATGTTTGTATTGGATTTTGTTTTCAATCGTGTGTTCTGTGTCCGTTAAACTTTGTTCCTTCCTTCCTTCCTGTCGTTTCTCGCTCTCTCTCTCTCTGTTGATATGGCACAAGAACTCCTTCTCATTGACTGACTGACTGACTGGGTCAAAGAATATATATGACAGACTCTGTGTTTACCTCATCCCCACAACGAGTTATTTACTTAGTTAGTTAGTTATTTAGTTAGGTGCGCTCAATTTTGTAGTGAGTGACATGACAACTTAACTCAATCCTCCTCCTCCTCCTCCTCCTCCTCCTCCTCAATACACACAACCACCACCCTCGTGTGTTTGTTTACCCGGCAGATATCAAAGTTGCCGTTAGATGTCGTGCATAAAAGAAAACTACACACTCTTCTTCTTCTTCTTCTTGTTACATGGCAAACTTTACCAAATCTAGTTTGAGCATAGTTTAGTTCCCAACATTGCACTAATGAAATGACCAAGTAAGTAGCCTTTTGGTAATAACAACCTCTTTGAATATTCACACACTCTCTTCTTGTTCTTCTTCCTCCTCCTCCTCCTCCTCCTGTGTCTGTCTGTTACTTTTGTATGGGGAGCAGAAAAAACACACAAACAACAAATCTCACACACACACACAGACATCAATCATATAGACACATAGACAGACATACACGCATACACACACAAACATACACAAACAGACATAGACACACACGCACACGCACGCACACACACACACACACACATAGACATAGACAAGACATAGAGACACACACATGCGCATCACAAACAGACAGACAGACAGACAGACATACATACATACATACATACATACATACATACACACACAGACACATACACATACACATAGAGAGAGACAGACAGACACATAGACACACACACATAGAGACACACATACACAGACATGCGCAACACAAACAAACATACATACACACACACACACAGACACACAGACACAAACATACATAATTATGCAATAACTCCAAGCTATACAAATTAGTTTGTTAGTCAGTCAGTCAGTCAGTCAGTCAACACATGTGTGCACAACCTACACACAATAGCAAACGCAACCAAACCTACCCTACCTATTTCCCCACAGTCAGTCACACACCCACACAATAATTAAATACATCACTACGCTACTCTATGATTATTATAGCCTTGTTCAAGGTGCCTTTGTCATTGCATACACCTACATCTATAACATTGGCATCCAAAATCAAATAAACTCAACGATTCAAGTGCATCACAAATATACCTAGTTAGTGAGTTAGTTTAGTTACTTAAATACCCATCACTCACTCACTCACAATAACTACTCATCAACGATGGTAACAACATTAAAACCTACACCACTCACCTACATGTATATATTGATAGATTCCACAAGTATTTGTTAAAAACAAGCAAAGATACATTGATAATCAATATAATTATCAACTGTTTAACGACACAGTTATCTACAACTACTCTCTTACTTATTTGCACTTATTTACTGACATGTCCCGCAATGCCTACACACACAAAACAAACAAATGATAACATGTACTAATAGCCCATGATAACAACATCAAATACAAACAAAACAATACTGCCACAAACAAACAAACAAACATTCTAACGTTACCTTCATTACTACAAATGTAGACTAGCACAAATCACAAAACAAAGCTAAACAAATTAAATTAACACACAAACAAACTAAACTAGTAATAAATAGTCAACAATTTTTCTCCTCAAAAATTGTATTAGGACCTAAGATAGGTCCAAGGTTTTGTTGGGTCGCTTTACTGGTTGGCTTTGTGGTTGTGGTAGTTTTCCTTCTTGTACTTGTTGTTGTTGTGGAAAACGCTTAACCTCCGAAACCGTACAGGGTACGTCCCTGGCGCTTGAGAGCGTAGACAACGTCCATGGCAGTGACAGTCTTCCTCTTAGCATGCTCGTTGTAGGTGACGGCGTCACGGATCACGTTCTCGAGGAACACCTTGAGCACACCACGGGTTTCTTCATAGATGAGACCAGAGATACGCTTGACACCACCACGACGGGCAAGACGACGGATTGCAGGCTTGGTGATACCCTGGATGTTATCACGCAACACCTTGCGATGACGCTTGGCGCCTCCCTTTCCGAGCCCCTTGCCACCCTTTCCAGCGTCCAGTCATGGTTTCAGCTTTGAATCACTTAACCAAGAGATGCCTGCCTCAACGCCCCATCGCTAATGCAACCTCACTCGCCTACGTTAGTGTAGCGCTCGCCCGGCCGCGTCAACCCAGCGCTCATCCTAACCGTCCGCTCTTCAAATAAAAGCTCTCTTAATCCTTGATACCGCTTAAAATTTACCTCTCGGATTAAACTAGTAGATTAGCACTCAAACATTGCACAAACTAATGGAATCATCACCAAACAAGGCCTAGGCACTTTCACCCAATCACACCTGACAGCCGTCAATCCTCAAGCTCTGTTTACACAGCATCAATGGCGGCGCCAAGCCTCACACTGATAGCCACACGCCGCGCGACTTGGCCCAGGCCGCTCTGGTATAAATTCAGCTCTTGAAACCAGCGCCCCCGTTTCCTATCTGTCTAGATACAACAATCAAATCAATCCCCAAAATGGCACGTACCAAGCAGACTGCCCGCAAGTCTACTGGAGGCAGGCCCCCCGCAAGCAGTTGGCCACCAAGGCAGCTCGCAGTCTGCCCCTGCTACAGGAGGTGTCAAGAAGCCCCATCGTTACAGGCCCGGAACTGTCGCCCTTCGTGAGATCCGTCGTTACCAGAAGAGCACTGAGCTCCTGATCCGCAAGCTGCCCTTCCAGCGCCTGGTCCGTGAGATTGCCCAGGACTTCAAGACTGATCTCCGCTTCCAGTCCTCTGCTGTCATGGCTCTGCAGGAGGCTTCCGAGGCTTACCTGGTTGGCCTGTTCGAGGACACCAACCTGTGTGCCATCCATGCAAGAGAGTTACCATCATGCCCAAGGATATCCAGCTTGCTCGTCGTATTCGCGGAGAGCGTGCCTAAGTTTTTGGTTGCTAGTTTGCTTGTCTCGTTGCATACCAAAATCGACCTCGGCCCTTTTCAGGGCCTAAAAATGTCCCCAGAGAGGATTGAAATACGACTTTTCTTGTAGTGTTTAGCATTTATCTTTTATATAATCACTGTGACAATTACAATACATCCTTGTGTGTGTGTATATATAATTGTGTATGTCTGTATGTATGTATGTATTATGTATGTAGTATGATTGTGAATGTATATAGCGTATGACTGTGTGTTGATATATATGTATGTGTGTGTATATGTATATGTGTGTGTGTGTATATGTATATGTGTGTGTGTGTATATGTATATGTGTGTGTGTGTGTATATGTATATGTGTGTGTGTGTGTATATGTATATGTGTGTGTGTGTATATGTATATGTGTGTGTGTGTGTATATGTATATGTGTGTGTGTGTGTATATGTATATGTGTGTGTGTGTGTATATGTATATGTGTGTGTGTGTGTATATGTATATGTGTGTGTGTGGGATATATGTATATGTGTGTGTGTGTGTATATGTATATGTGTTGTGTGTGTGTATATGTATATGTGTGTGTGTGTGTATATGTATATGTGTGTGTGTGTGTATATGTATATGTGTGTGTGTGTGTGTGTGTATATGTATGTGTATATGTATGTGTGTGTGTGTGTATTAAATATATTATATATACAATATACATTATAGATATATATAAATATATATATATATATATATATATATATATATATATATATATATATATATATATATATATATATATATATATATATATTTATATGTATATAATATCTATAGAATATATAGATGTAATATAGAATATATATATACATATATATAATATATATCATGTGTATATATATATATTATAAATATATGTATATATATATAATTATATATTACGTATATATATATAAAATATATTAAATATATAATTTATGTGTGTTTACAATATATATATTATATATATATTGTCAATATATACTGTATATACATTAACACAATATATTGTGTTATATTATTATATATATATATATATATATATATATATATAAATAGTATATATATATATATATATATATTGTAATAAAAAATATATAAATATATTAAAATATATATTACTATATATATAATATATATATATATATATATATATAGTATAGTAATATATGTAGATATATATATATGTATATGTATATATATATATTTAGATATACTCTATATATATATATTAGACAATGTAGATATAAATATATAGAATATAGTATTTTAATTTTAATATATATATTGTTAATAATATATGTGTGTGTATATATATATACAATATAATTGGTAAATATATAAAAATATATATATTACTATTGATATTGTATATATTTATATATTATTTACACTATATATATTTTTGCATATTTTGTGTGATTGTATACATATAATAAATAAATAAATATATATATATATATTATATATATATATATATATATTAAAACACTATATCATATTTTCTACTTTCACCGCCCCCCCCACCCTCCCCCTCCTTCCTCTCTCTTATGTGTTTACAACATTGTGTGGTGTTCAACTTACTTTACTTTACTTTTCCATCAGTTTTTTCGCATACCTACGACACATAACATACCAGACATCCATACATACATATATACACCCCAACATCATTACTGCTACTAGACTGAAACATTAACATTGTTTGTTGTGTTTAGACTAAACGATAATGAATTGGATGACAACAAACCTACAAACCCTAACCCAATCTCAAGTAATCCTGATCTTGATGATGATGATGATGATAATGCATGTATACAGGTATCCCAAATAGTAGTAGTTGTTAATCCACACTTAGTAAGGTCATTTTTATCCACTTTGAAGACTATTTGTGGCTCCTAAAGGAGCCGATGTTTGTTTGGGTATGAGGCAGGTAAACCGTACACAAGCACCTAGTAATTTACTTTGATGAAGTGTACTTGGTGACGGCCTTGGTACCTTCGCTCACAGCGTGCTTGGCCAATTCTCCGGGCAGCAGAAGCCTGACGGCGGTCTGGATCTCCCGGCTGGTGATGGTGGAACGCTTGTTGTAGTGTGCAAGGCGGGAAGCCTCAGCTGCAATGCGCTCAAAAATGTCATTCACGAAAGAGTTCATGATTGACATGGCCTTGGAGGAGATACCGGTGTCAGGGTGGACCTGCTTCAACACCTTGTAGATGTAGATGCTGTAGCTCTCCTTCCTCCTGCGCTTCTTCTTCTTATCTCCCTTGGAGATAGACTTTTGGGCCTTACCGGCCTTCTTGGCAGCCTTTCCAGAAGTCTTGGGTGGCATGATTGACACAGTTGCAACAGGTATTGCTAACGAAAAACCCGCAACGAAATTTCCTTTTATAGTGCGTCACTAGCGCCAGACTCGGCTTGGGAACAGACGACTAGCCCATGCTATTGGCTCAAGCTGAGGAAACCCGCGTTGCCACATAGTCCAACCGGACCGGTTCATCAGGAGGCACCTATAAAAGCCAAGCTTTTCGCTGGGGTATCGTGATTTTTGAATCTTTTGAGCAAAGTCATATCAAACCATCATCATGTCTGGTCGTGGTAAGGGTGGTAAGGTAAAGGGCAAGTCAAAGTCCCGCTCAAGCAGGGCCGGCCTTCAGTTCCCCGTAGGTAGGATTCACCGCCTTCTGCGTAAGGGCAACTATGCCGAGAGAGTGGGTGCTGGAGCACCTGTGTACCTCGCTGCCGTCATGGAATACCTGGCTGCTGAAGTACTAGAGTTGGCAGGTAATGCTGCCCGTGACAACAAGAAGACCCGTATCATCCCCCGTCACTTGCAGCTGGCCATCCGTAACGACGAAGAGCTCAACAAGCTCCTGTCTGGCGTGACCATCGCCCAGGGTGGTGTCCTGCCCAACATCCAGGCTGTGCTCCTCCCCAAGAAGACTGAGAAGAAGTAAATACTTTGCGTATTACCTCATCTCAACAACATCGGCTCCTTTAGGAGCCACAAAGACTGATAAAAGAGAAAAATTTGACAACCAAATCCATGGCCATGGATGACTGACTGCCATGTCCATATAAACCAATAACAAAGGTAATGACTATACTAGTAGAACCAACAAATCAATCAATGAATCACTCAATACCTAAATAAATATTTTACACCCACACATAATTAGTGTACCAAACCAACATGTATTCCCCTCAATATTGGATTATGTCAATATATACTTTGTATGTGCGTATGTGTGTGTCTTTGTATGTATGTGTATGTATGTATGTGTGTATGTATATATGTATATACATCTATGTATATATATGTATGTATGTACGTGTGTATGAATGTATATAAATCTATCTATCAATATATATATAATATAATATATATATATGTCATAGTATCAATCGATCAATATATATGTATGTATGTATATCTATCTCTCTCTAAATATATATACAGCAAACTATATGTACCTATCTACATATATATATGTATGCATATCTATATAAATATATGTATATCTATCAATCTCTCTCTCTCTCTCTCTCTCATATATAGACATATATATAATATATATATATAATCTATTTATCACTCTATCTATCAATATATATATGTAAGTAATACTATCAATCTGTCTATCAATCTATCTATATATATGTATGTATATCTATCTATCTATCTATCTATCTCTATATAGAAACACCAAAATATATATACCTATCTATCTATCTATCTATCTATATATATGTATGTATGTATGTATATATGTATATATATCAATCTATACAAATATATGTATAACTATCAATATATATATATATATATATATATATGTCTATCTATATATATAGTTATGTTTCTCTCTCTCTCTCTCTATATATATACATATATAAAAACATATATGTATGTATGTATGTATGTCTTTCTGTATAGCTATATACATGTATGTATGTCTATATCTATCTATATCTCTATATATTTATAAATGTATGTATGTATGTATGTATGTATGTATGTATGTATGTATGTATATCTATTAAAAAAAAAAACAATATATAAGTAACAATACAAATATATCTATATATATACACCTAACTATATATATACCTATCTATGAATGATGAAAACACATTACCGTGTTGATACTATGGTATAAAGACCCACAATATAGAAACAACATTTATTGAATATGAGACAACAAAACCGGGCTCCCCTCATGGGCATAGCCCGGCCGAGGCTCCGCTTCGCAAATCGGACAAAAAATTATGAGACAACAGTTTCGGAATCCACCTGGATAACTCTCTATCTATCTATCTATCTATCTATCTATCTATCTATCTATATATCTAGCAATCTATCTATATATGTATGTATGTATGTATATCTATATTTATCTGTCTATCAATCTATATATATGTAGGTCTATCTATCAATCAATCAATCAATCAATCAATCAATCAATCAATTTATATATATTTATCTTTCTCTCTCTCCCTCTATCTATCTATCTATGTATATCTATCT